CATTATAGATAAGTAAGTACTTGGCTTTTATAAATATGATTAAAGCATTCAAAGTTCAAATCGGTGCGTGTGTTCTTGATGTGAAAAAATTTTATAGTGTATCAGTGAAATGGATTAGGTATTAACTGGCCCATCGGAAATCTTAAGTTACATCCTTAAAGTTTCTTTGCATTCATATTACAATTTCAAGCTGCTTTTAGCTCTTAGGTAGGTATTTCGTCGATTTTTCATTCTCGTTTCTTTTTTTATTCCACGTAGATTTATGTCCAGAAATTCTAAGTGCACTTAAGGTGTATTTATGTTAAACGGCCAGGTTGAAAGTTTTCTGTCACGTGTGTAGAAGCTGCCCGCGGTCGGCGCCTTCATAATGGCTCCTGCAAACTTCGCCGGACGACGTCACTGGCTGTGCTCGTGTCGTCGCGTTGTAGCGAGATGACACAGTTCAAAATTGTTTGTTAGGTACATGATCAATAATAGTCCAGTAGAATTAGCTTTTAAATCGGAAATAATTCCTACAAAAGATTTTATTGTTTTAATGGCTTCATTGGTTGCCCATTAAGACTCTCCTAAGTTTTCGACTTCGACGGAGTTGTGCTTAAGTGGTGGGGGCCCCCGAAAGAGGCATTTTTTCGGTTTTCCGGTTATACTGCGTAAAGGACTTACCCTATCAAAAAGTGGTCTTCATGACGGTTGAAGGGCACTTAATCCTGCATTGAATAAGACCAAATTCATATGTTTTGGACAAACCGTTCTCGCGCTAAAGTTCGGCAAAGTAGAAAATATACGTATAGTTAATGACCCTCTCCACGTCCAATGGTTTGTTACCCACAGGCTTCCAAGTCTTGAAAAGGGCCACCTCAACCAGTGTAACCCTATCAAGGCTTACGAGCTTGATGCGCCTATCCTTGTTCGTCCCAGCCGTTCTTTAACTGCGGTTGCTGCACCTCTTCCTGGCACTCACCTGAACGACTCTGTGTTACCTATCGTGAGCCTTGTTAGGGTTACACTGATTAAGGCGACCCTTTACAAGGCTTGGAAGCATGTGGGTAACAAGCCATTGGACGTGGAGAGGGTCATTAATTATACTTATATTTTCTACTTTGCCGAACTTTAGCGCGAGAACGGTTTGTCCAAAACATATGAATTTGGTCTTATTCAATGCAGGATTAAGTGCCCTTTAACCGTCATGAAGACCACTTTTCGATAGGGTACGTCCTTTACGCGGTATAACCGGAAAACCGAAAAAACGCCGCTTTCGGAGGCCCCCACCACTTAAGCACAACTCCGTCGAAGTCGAAAACTTAGGAGAGTCTTAATGGGCAACCAATGAAGCCATTAAAGCAAAAAAATCTTTTGTAGGAATTATTTCCGATTTAATCAATTTTTGTGTTTAATTCTACTGGCCTATAATGGTACTAAATAGCACAAGAAATTATAAAGTTTTTGATAAAGTCGAAGGCTAACGGTTAAAATTAATGTCTGACAGTAGACTGAACGCTCTACCAATAAAATGGTTCTTAGATGATGAAAGTTGTAATGGTCAAGAAAGTTAAGCGGTGACCTTTTCAACTTGAATTATTTTTTTCTGACGAGCCACAGTGAACCTGTTTATTAGATGTGCACTGGCTTAGCTACCTAAGCTGTGACAGCAGTAGCCAGCTTGGGTGGGCAGACGATCGCCTTTGACGAGTTATCAGGCGCTTGTGTGTGATTACTGCGAGTTTCTCTCCCATGAATAACATCTACATGTTGTTAATGGAACTACAACCAGCTTTATGATAGTGGAGCGCCGGATTCGACCCGCTTGAACTCCAACATCTGCTTAGTTTATCTGAAACACAATTGCGAAGGTTGTGAAGTACTTAGACGTGCGTAGAGCGCCTGGAGGTTGTTACCCTGCAATCTCATTGTTTTGCATGTATTGACGTGAGAATCAGATTTAGCAGGTAAATTAACACTATAATACCTAAGTACTATTTACATTTTCTGTAATAGCCTATTCTGCGTTGTTGTGCTATGTTTATGTACTTCAAGCCAGGACAAAGTTTTAAAGCGCTAACTGACAATTTTTTGACGAACCGAAACCAGCGCGCACCGAATTGCAGCTGAATACCTTACTTGTTTGTGTGACAGTTTATCTGCTAGACTCAAACCGAAGGCGGCACGTATCGACCGGCTGTCGCTGTGCTGCGGCCGGCTCTGGCTTTGTAATAACACTTCCTTGCTTTCTATTGAGTAGAAATGCTTTACCCAACTACGCAAAAACAGATAAAGGGTTTGGACCTTTGATGTCATTTCATTAGTAGTAGTAAGATATGGACATAGGCCTTTGCTTAGATACATTACAATAACCTTAGATATAGTTACATGGCCATGGTGTAGTGTAAGTACTATTTGTTTATTGCTAAGCCATGGAGCACAATAGACTTTTCATATAAATTGAAAAGTCAATAACAAAAAGGTACATTGCACAAAATAAGTACCTAATTCCAAACATTTGTGATTTTGATCTCAATAAGGTAGGTACATTTAATATTATTAACAGAACGATTCCACGAATTTCCTACAAACGGTTCCTTTGTTGAATAACAGTGACATCAGATTCTTGAAAACGCTTAGCTTTGAACTAAAATACCTATAGAATAAAATAATATTCTAAGAAAAGGGAAAGGAGTCATAAAATTACATAAAAATAGAGTGCCTCTACATTTCAGTCAGTCAGTCACTCAGCATCACCAGTATCAATAACGCGGATGATTGATGCGACGATGTCTTCAAAGTGCGGAGGCGCTGGTCGCGGATGATCCGGCATCCATCACGTGTCGTAACACTTGGTTGATACTCGCGCGGCGAAAGGAAAGGCCTTTCCTGTGCCAAAGTATTGAATTTCGCGCTCTCTGTTCCACGGTTGGCTAGGAACAATATTAATAAACTTCAAACATTTCCATTGTCTTAGAAAATTAAGAATCAATACATTCATCATCATCATCATCATCTCAGCCATAGGACGTCCACTGCTGAACATAGGCCTCCCCCGATGCTTTCCATGTTGCCCGGTTGGTAGCGGCCTGCGTCCAGCGCCTTCCTGCTACCTTTATGATGTCGTCGAATCAATACATTGCGGTTCGGTAAATCTAGGCACTTTGTGTTCATTATCATCTTCACCAATGCGTGGATATAAGTCACCATGATTAGATAATTATTTTTTTTTAAATTCAGACACACAATTATTTTTGAGTTAATAGCTTTATCCGTAACATATCTGGTTTAATTTTCTTGTTAAATGTAAGGAAACTTTTATTCTTATTCAATTGTTCCTATGATTTACACTATAAGTTATTGAAACTGACACATATTATTATACTTTGTTTCAATTCTTAGTCAAAATTGAAAAAGCTACAAACAAGGTATTTTTAACCTTAACAAGAACGTAGCAAGCAAGTTCGCTGATAGAAGAAAATGAACAATCCATTTTATTCGAAGCAAATTGCAGTCTTGCTCGTTCCATCTGGATATTCCGACCGAGACCGCTGTTTTATCCTGTTGACATTTTCATTCAGTTATGACCCTTTTCGTAGGATTTAATTTAAGATATAGCTAAAGAAGATAAAGCCACCTACACGAGAGTGACTTCGTTCTAGTTCCATTTATTTACGGCTTATAAAAACGTGTAATCAGTATTTATATCTTATCATAATTATACAAAATTTCCACACAAGTGCGTGGTTGTAAAACTGAAATTATTAATCTTCAAGATATTACAACTGAACAACGCGGTTCGTAAACGCATATAATTAAAAAGTTTCATAGATTTTGGCGACATGAAATACGAAACCAATACCTAAGTAAGTGTCGAGATTCCATGAGGAGCTCGCCTCCTTAGCGTCGTCAGCGCCCACGAGCCCGGGGGCTCGCGTGGAGGGATCATACGTCCGTCAACTTTCCGTAAAAACATTTTCATGTAAAGTGTTGCCAAGCTAGTACAAATTGCTTGCACTGTACAATTTTTCAGATCTTAAAGAGCGCCAAGAATTCTGCCTGAATACTAGTCTTAGTTATCTACAAACCCTACACTTGTGAAAATGAGTGGCGCTCGGCCGTCACTCTAAGACCTGTGTGCCTACCATGAGTTTACGTTAGGTGTGCTAGCGACTGCGTAAAAAAATGACATTTAAATGTATGACATATTGTGCAGCGCCCCTAGCGGCTACTTTCAAGAAATAAAATCTTCATAAAAATTTTTGACGTATTCGCTAGCGAGCTCACCTAACGTAAACTCATGGTAGGCACANCTCTAAGACCTGAACATAATGCTTCAGCACTGTCCACGACTATGGCACGACCGTATTATTCCAGAAATAATCCAGTTTATTAATCCAAGCGAAATCGGAACGGGACGCTAGTAATAGACAAACATACTTAACAATGTTTTCTTAATACTGTAAGTAGTGTTTTTAGACACTGAAAGAGACTTATAAAACACAATTCGGGGAAGTTCGGCGTTCCTGCTCGAGGCGGCTAATCAGATTACGCAGGCCAGCCAGTCGGGGAGTACTCGCAGCAAGGATTCATTCATCAAATTACGAGTAGATCCTTGCCGGCTGCGATCTTATTTCCACAGGCTACTTATGCCTTAATAATGAAGCGTCTAAGGTTAATCATGATAATTATAATTGTGTATTTTATTTTTAGTTTGTTACCATTAGCACTACGACTACGATACGATAAGATATTGCATCCTTGAAGTAGGTATTAAATTAATAAAAAATAATAAAACAATTTCATTTACTCATTAAATAACCTTTACTGGTGCGGTGTACATAGGTATATCTTATCGTTTTGTACATATACCAAAAATGCGTGTAAATATTATGCTGTTAGTTTAGGGAACCTAAACGTATGTGTACATGAAAACAAACAAGATTTAATGACGAGACCATAATTTATTGACACGACATTCACAGAGGATGCTATAATTACAGTAGGTACTCTATTCTTATGAGATACCGAGAAAAATATATTTATTAATGAACTGTTACTTCCATGTGATTGACTCATTTCATATGTCAGGTCTGTAATAAAATAGCTGCATAAAAAATTTACTTTCAGACGTCCTATGGCTGAAATAATGATGATATTTGAAATATTGCTAATAGTAGCAAATGCCTTCCTCTATGAGGCGCTGGATGAGGTCCTTGGCTTGTTGGCGGTGCGCCTTGCCGGTGTGCGTGCGCGGGATGGCGGCCACGAACGCGACGCCCCCGCGCAGCCGCTTGTGGTCGCTCAGCGTCGCTGCGGGCAAGCAGAGCGGGTCAGCGAGGCCTGGCGCGTGCTAGCCGCCTCCCGCGAGGCTCGCGCGTGTACTCACTCTCGACGACGCGGTGGATGGCGCGGCGCGCGTCGGGCTCGCTGGCGCCGGCGCGCAGCACCACGGCGGCCGCGGGCCCGCGCGCGCTGTCGCTCACCACGCACTCCGCCACGCCCGGCAGCTGCCCGATTACCTTTTCTAACTCCTCAGGAGATAGCTGGGAAGATCGATAAGCAAGTCGTGTAATCCCCAAATTACGTTGTGTTTATATTTTACTCAACGGAACAGAGAAACAGTTAGCGCTCAAGTATATGCCAAAATGAGCTTGAACTCGTATACGTAAATTCCTAAGTGATTTAAAACGTTCAAGAAAATCTGTTACTAAATCAGTACATCCAGTTTACAAATACGAGTACCTACATAGTATACGTGTTCATAAAGCAAACACTAAAAGGAGATTCAAGTTACGCAAGACAAACTTCCGCCGTTTTAATACTTTATGCTATTTGACATTGCCGAGTGCACAAAACTGGTCTCTATATCACGATGCACAAAATTCGCTACTCCGTCCTCGTTCGTGGAGGCGCCTTGCTGATGCATTGCGAGCTAAACTTAGCGCCAAAAACTTAACACTTACCTACCTTATGAAACAATCTGAACAGGACCAGTTATAATAACTTATGCGCTTACTACAAAACTAACTACACAATCTTTAATTCATGCCTTTTGTCTTTAATTGATTGTTACGAACCAAACACGTTCCTCAATGACATTAATATGTTTTTCAAGCTAGTAATTTAGCCTTGCCAGGCTAAATTCCAGGGTCAACTTTGATTAATTGTGTTGTGCGTTGGACTCACCAGCCGGTTTTCGTACTTGAAGCAGAACTTGATGCGGCGGCAGTAGTGCAGGCGGCGCGCGCGGTCCTGGCGGAAGGCGTCGCCCGTGCGGAGCCAGCCGGCCGCCGTCGTGCTGGCCGCCAGCTACGACTCGTTCTTGTAGTAGCTCTGCAGGCAGACAAAAAACAACCAACTATAGAACTATAACTGTTATGCGTGTACCAGGAAAAACTCCGTTTCCTACGCTACCATAAGATTGATATTATTTTCACTTTATTACTTGTGAAAGATGGCTCTGAATATAAAGTTCTCCTTCTTCGTCTTTTTGTATTAGTTTTTTTAGGCATTTTGTATTAGTTTTTGTGTAACGCCGGAACAAAAATATAGGGCAATATTTTGGTGTTAAACATAGATTTCAAATATAAAAAAACATATAATTTAACTAATTAAGACATTACAAAAAAAAAATGAGGTATATGTCTCGTTTCTGTCGGGTCTGGGTTTTTTTTGTATGGGGCGTGACCGTTCTTCTTTATTAATATTGTTAAGGAGGCATTTATGATCGAAATACAACTAGTATTTCTTATCATATTTTATTACAAACGTCTCTTGTTTATAATCACTAAAATTATAAATCAATAAAAAAATTATGCCATTTCAAGATTAGTAATATCGCATAATATACTTACGTAATAATCTAGCTATTTTATCACATATTTTACTTGCATTGCTGCAAACCAGATTTAATCTTACTTTAAGTGTTTACGATAGACTGCTAGATATATAATCAGTATCACAAAAACATGCAAGTTTTATCGCTTACTTTTAAAGCGGCCATGATTTCGGGCGTGAGTTGAGAGCCAAACGAAAACTCAAAAACGTCATTCATTTTCTGCCAATACTCTATTAAATGCGCTTTTAAACGTCCCAAAACAGCTTTAACCCTAAGCTTGGACCACCACTTTGGTACTCATCGCTTAATCATTGCCGACGACACATCTTTGATTTATAATATTAAGTGTAGCGGTAGTAAACCACACATTAAGGATTCGCTAAGGGACGCTGAAGGGATTGTGGCTCCGAGGAGAGCTAATAACCAAACCCGACGAGTGTTGAACGTACACTTATTTATTGAATTCACCAATATTGTAACGCATAGTGACGAGCAATGACGTAAAGCTAACTTAGCTAATTTTAAACTAGGTCAAGTAAGAAATGTAAAATTTTTATGTGCGGTTAGCCCGTACATCTTGCCAATCAGAGAAGAAAAAGGACAAATCGCTTAAATTGATACAACATTAATATGCTAAATCAGAAGCTAGTTTGTACATTAAGCTCTAGAAGATATGCTAGGTGAAAACGGAAAAGCAATAAATCCATCAGCTCAATCAGGAATATGCTATATTAAACTGTACAAATACGCAATGCTATTAAAGAGCAGAACATTGTGCACTGACCACGGGGTGGCGAGCTGCGATACGAGGCCGTGGTGGTTGTACTGCGCCGCCTTGGGCAGCCCCGTGGAGCCGCTCGTGGGCAGCAGCAGGCTCGCCGCGCCCTCCTCGCTGTCCTCCGCTCTGCGCACGACCACGCGGGTCACATACGAGACAACGAGAATGGAAGTAAGAGACACAGTAGCTTAGGGCACCAGGATTAGGATATAAAGAAGTTAAGGACCTACTTTTTATTCGAAGCTAATCTTATTTTGGGGCTTCGTGCATTTGAAGAATAATAAAATCACTGTCAAATTCGTCATTCATTGTACTCTACCGTAATGTTTAGTACGCACTCGAAAGAGTCAAGGTCGTCGGTGTGTCCCTGGATGTAGTCGAGCAGCGCGTCGTCGTGTATGGGCAGCACGTGCGCGGGCGCGGGCGCGTCGGCCGTCGCGACGCGCACCGCCGCCTGCGTCGCCTCGTCGCAGAACACCAGCGCGGGCTCCACGAGCCGCAAGTAGTGCTGCAACTCATCTGGAACAAGAACAGTTTAATGTGCAAAACGACGAAGACACAATAGACTCCTTGAATACTCAGTGATCTCTGCAGCACAGACATGAATCTCGGAGGTTCGTACATACACTTAGTGGCCCCAGGATCAGTGAGGTACGCGAGCACGCCCGCCAGCAGCAGGACCAGGTACACCGCCACGGTGCGCTCGTGGTCGCGCGCCACCAGCATCACGGTCTTCCCCTTCAGGCCCTGGGCTCGCAGCTTGCGCGCGAAAGGGATGGCCAGCTCCAGCATCTCGCGGTTCGTGGTCTGCTCGCCGGTGGCGCCGTTGATCTGGCGCAAGAACAGACGGGTAACAGCGAGGTCCCAGCGGCGGCGGCGGGCTCGCGCGGCCGCACTCACCATGCAGACGAAGTCGGGCGCCTGGCGCATGCAGTGCAGCAGCAGCTGCGCCGCGGACACGCGCGCGCGCGCCTCGCGGTTCTGTAATGTTCGAAACGAGAGGTCCGAGGTTGCCGTCCTGTTTCTTTTTTTCTCGAATATTCCAGAAATGTGTGGAAGAGTAATTGATGTGCAAACGAGATGACAGACTGATAAAGTGAGAAAAAGATGGAATTTTATTTATCTCTAATCGACTAATTGAATTATTTTAGACCATTTTCTGACTGTTAACGTTGCTAATCAATTCTAATTAATAGATTAACGTATTTTCGTGGTCGACGTCGCTAACGGGAGGTTATCAAAANTCAATGTTATTGATGTCAGTTTGCCGAATGACTTTACATGGGGTTGACGAAGACTTGGCTTTTTTATTTTGACTGTTATTATTAGAACTATTATTGGATTTTCTTCTCTTTTTCCCCTTCGTTTCCATTTTATTTTGTTGTTCTAATACATTTTTCTCTTTAGTTTGTGGGTGTTGATTGCTTAAACTTTTCCTTCTATTAGATGAATTATTTCCCACTGAAGACGAAAAATAGATAGTTTTTAGTTGATTCACATTTTTCTCTTTCTGTTCTAATTTGTCCTTTAACTTATAATTTTCGGCTAATAAGTTCTGTATTTCTTTGTCAGCCGATCTGAGATCTAACTGTAACTTTGCTACAACTTTTTCAAGTTCCTCAATTCGTATTTGATGATTCCGGCCGATTTCAGGGCAGCTTCGGTTAGCTATATTCATAGGTGTGTCCAATGATATGTATTCGTCATCTCTCATATCAAGTAAATCAAAAGAGTTGTATGTGGATATATTCATTACTGGTTTTCTTCTCGTTGTAACATTCTCATTATTTTGTGTAGTAGATAACGGCGAAATCATAGGAAGTAATTGTGTCTTCGACTTTTGTTCCATTTTGCCTTTCGTTTTTTATCACAAAACACCAAAAAACAAAAACAAAAAATAATAGGTATAGTGTCTTTGGTAAACATAAAAAAAAACAAGAGTTTTAATTAGTCCGTCAGTTAACTTATCAAAAAATACTCTACACGTATTTTTCACTTTTTCAAACTAATGAAAATTTAAAGAGATAAAGCGCCCCAAAGTTCATAAGAAGAGGCCCGTGACGTCAACGCTTGCTTAAAAATGCCGCACGTTGTGACGTCGTGCGCAACTTCAACGCACCATAACTATGTAATTATTTGTTAGATTGACAAATAAAAATATATGTGTCCAATATTTTTTGATATTAAACATTACGGACTAAAAAAATTTTTTTAGGCAACTAGCCTATTAAGGAGATCAATATTAACCTTTAGTATAGGTTTATGCGGTGAGTACTGGAACAATTTTCTTTTCACAACACCGATTTTTTTAGTATTTGGTTTCGATGGAGGCATTATAATCGTAACTCTGAAAATGAATCGATTACTTATATCAAAATAGCTAAGTAATAAAATTGAAAAAACACGATAAAAACTAAATGGCCAAAAGTGGGGTTCTTCGTGCACCACTTTTGGCCAGTCATGTGGCCAAAGATGGGAAAATTCATTAATTCTGGCTCCATTAGTGGCCACCTCTCATAAACCCACTTAATAAACAAATAGCGATAAAATATCATTAGTACCACTTAGACAGTGTATTCTTTATTAAGGATTAACATAAACATTTAAAAAAATAAGAAGGATTTAGAAAATAATGATTGTTTACTCGCCCGCTCGCCTTAGCCTTTTTGCTAAGACTTAAAACAATTAACGCTTCTCAAAAAAGAATGACTTGTTGAATTGAAGTGAAGCTTGACACATCAAAGCTGTTAACGCTATCAGTGTTGCTAATATTAGATATTTTTATTCCCGTAAACCATAGAGTAATATATTAGTCTTTGCCTTAGTTATAACGATTTGAAGTTCTAAATGGCCACAAAGGGGTCGGTGGCCACAACCGGGTCACTTGCCCTACCTACATAGTATACGTGTTCATAAAGCAAACACTAAAAGGAGATTCAAGTTACGCAGGACAAACTTCCGCCGTATTAATACTTTATGCTATTTGACATTGCCGAGTGCACAAAACTGGTCTCTATATCACGATGCACAAAATTCGCTACTCCCTCCTCGTTCGTGGAGGCGCCTTGCTGATGCATTGCGAGCTAAACTTAGCGCCAAAAACTTAACACTTACCTTATGAAACAATCTGAACAGCACCAGTTATAACTTATGCGCTTACTACAAAACTAACTACACAATCTTTAATTCATGCATTTTGTCTTTAATTGATTGTTACGAACCAAACACGTTCCTCAATGACATTAATATAGTTAAACACGACGTGTTTTTAATAATTCAAGCTTGTAATTTAGCCTTGCCAGGCAAATTACGGCACAACGCAAAGAAGATAAAAGTACAGAGACTTACTCCAGTACATCTAGCTACGAGTAAATAGCTACTAGGAAAATTTCATGTTGGCGATTTCGTTCGCAAGCTAATACCTCATTGATATTAAAGTTTGAAATTTATTATTATTGTTAAGGAGGCATTTATGATCGAAATACAACTGGTATTTCTTATCATATTTTATTACAAACGTCTCTTGTTTATAATCACTAAAATTATAAATCAATAAAAAAACTTATGCCATTTCAAGATTAGTAATATCACACAATATACTTACGTAATAATCTAGCTATTTTATCACATTATTTTACTTGCCAGATTTAATCTTACTTTAAGTGTTTACGATAGACTGCTAGATATTATAACTATCTGTGAAAACTATTTTGGCAAATGTGAAGTTTAATTGGTAACTCTATATGTGTTATAGAATGCTGTTTGTTTTCCTAACAATAAAATAAAATAATAAATAAAATAATATATAATCAGTATCACAAAAACATGCAAGTTTTATCGCTTACTTTTAAAGCGGCCATGATTTCGGGCGTGAGTTGAGAGCCAAGCGTCAGCACGGTCTCTAGCGATATGAAGTGGTCCGGCGTCGTCGCCGCCTTCGCCAGCTGCATGGCAGACAGTGGCCCGAAGAACGTCCAAGTTGGCTGCCAAATTAAAATACATCCTATAAAACGCTTTACATGTTGTTAAATAACTGGTTTTAGTATGTACACGAAAGAGAAGGGACTCGTCTGCTCCATAAATGTATGATTACATTAATAATTAATAATAATAAATAAATAAATTTTATTCAATTAAACATTTGGATCTAACAAGGGGTGAACCCCTGACACCGAAACTAGTAAAAAAATACTGTATTTTCAGTGTCAGTGATTCCTCGACATTTGTGGGCTAACATAGAAATATTTAAGTTTTACATGCTAGGACTATAACATGGAAATTTCAGCTGGTTACATAAAATAACATTAAGGTGATATGAATAGGAGCGATTTTACAGAACATTTTATAATCGTGTGTGTGTGTGTGTGTGTGTGTGTGTGTGTGTGTGTGTGTGTGTGTGTGTTTGTCAACTACATTAAGTAGTTGATAACCGGCAGCTTTGCATCAAGTGCAGCACGTGCTCGACGCTGGGCTCCAGCGGCGACATGACGAAGGTCGCGCGGAACACGCAGCACGCCGTCAGCAGGCTGGAGAACGTGCCCCACTGCGGCGTCGTCAGCAGCATGGCGCGCGCCGTCGGCGACGGGAACCGCTCGTGGTGCATCCTGCCGTAATAAAAAAAACTCAAAAACGTCATTTATTTTCTGCAAACGAGGAGTGACAGAACAAAACATGATAATTCCACTTTTTTTCAAAAAAAAGTTAGCTATGACATTCGACAGAATACCATAAATTACGTCGCCCATTAAGCTGGTGTGGTTCAAATCATGCTTATTCCTGCAGTAAATCGGCCTCTAAAGTTGAAAGTTTGATGCAAATCATGTTTTTTTCATGTTTAAAAATATCAATAAACGAAATCATAACAAAACATGATATACTAGCTTTGGCCCGCGGCTTCACCCGCGTGAATTTTAGTTTGTCACAGATCGTCATAAATTATACCCTACCTACTAGCGGCCGCCCGCGACTTCGTACCTACGCGTGGACCTCGTTTTACCCCTTATTTCGTAAAATCTGTTGATTGATATCATGTTGATAGATGGCGAACAGTAGTTTGTCCAGCGCTGTAGATTTTACCAATGACGATAGATGGCGCTTTTTAGATACGTCTTATTTATTTATTGAAAATTTGTCACATATCGTCATAAATTATAGCCTATATGTTAATCTAGGTTATAAACAATAATACTGTAAAGTTTCAACAAAATCCGTTCAGTAGTTTTTGCGTGAAAGAGTAACAAACATCCAGACATCCAGACATCATCATGACATCCAGACATCATGCATGACATCCAGACATCATGCATGACATCCAGACATCAAAAAATATTATTAGGATATGTTATTCTGGGTTATAAACAAAAATCCGTTCAGTAGTTTTTGCGTGAAAGAGTAACAAACATCCAGACATCCACAAAAACTTTCGCATTTATAATATTATAGTAAGATTGTTTTTACTGCCCTACTACACTGTGTAGTGTGTACCTACACCAATTGGATACTTACTACAATGAATGTATTTTTTTTTCTCTTAACAAGACCGACAATACCTACCTTACAAGATTGACTTTCTATATTGTTTGTATAATATCATTCGCACTAAATTCAACAGTTGGTATATTAATAATCAGGGTATAAGCGAACCCGTACGGGGAGTGTATGCGTTTATGTGTGTTCGAGAGCGCTGACCGGACGATGATGACTGCCGTTGAGAGCTTGCCCTTACTATGTCAGGCGTAGTAGGTGCTACTTGCAGGAATAAAACCACTATTTCACTTGCTGAGACTTCTCGCGTTTATTATTCGCTTCTTTTTCTCAGTTCTTGCTTCTTCAGATCACTTATTGCTTGGAGCATTTGTTCTCTGAACTAAACTTAAACTTAACCCGCCATTGGTGACGTATATGTCTGAGAGACCGGGTGACTCGAAAAATTCGAATAACTTTTTCGCCCGCCATCTATTCGGGTTGCGATTTCGAGTAGCTGCCTCTTTTTAAGTCCTAAACAGTCAGTGCCGCTCGTGGCTTCGCGGCGAACGCACGTTCCGGAGTTTTAATGCCAACCCGGTCCGTGAGACCGGCGTCACCAAACAAGTAAGTAAAATATTTACATGGAATTTAGCACAGAATTTAAAAAATCTTAGAATAACATCAAAACTTAGTACTATTGTTACTGTTATCTTAATTATTTTATTGAATGGTATTTGATTAATGTGATTTTTGTATAATTTTATAGATAGTATTTTTTAAAAACATAATAAATACAGGTGCAGATTCCTTTATCTAGATTCGGTTTCACATGTTCCTAAGACTGGCAAAAATGTCATGCTGAAAGCACTATGCACATTAATGCTGAAGTTGATACAGATACTCAAAAACCTGAGACTATTTTGAATTATAATGACACCAAGGGTGGAGTTGACGTAGTAGACCGTTTATGTGCAAACTACATTGTGCCAGAGCAACTAGAAGATGGCCTACGGTTGTATCTTACGCTATGCTCAATGTCAGTACAATTAATAGTCAGGTGATACATACAGCTAACAATCAAAACTCAAAACTACAACGCCGTCACTTTATTGAGAATTTAGCCATGAAACTTATTGAACCTCATCTGAGAGAAAGACGTACACAACTAAACTTACCTAGACTGACGAGAGAAAGGATTTCAGGAGATTTTGAAGATTGATGATGAACGTGGTTCTGTTGGTCCTTTACGTAAAGGTCGTTGCCATGAATGTGGGTGGCAAAAAAACAGAAAAACTAAATATACTTTTGCCAAAAATGCGAGAAATACCTGTGCCTTGAGCATGTAGTACCTTATTGCAGAAGCTGTTTGATCTCCCAAGAAGAGTGATTTTTGAGAGTGCTTTTCTTTTTTTTTTTGTTAATAGGATATATTTTTTTGTTTAATTTCCAAAAGTATGCAATGTCATAAGACTGACAAAGGCTGATTTAAGTACAAAAAGTTAAATACTGTTACTAATTTCAAAATTTTTGATATATATGCGTAAAACCATAGTGTTTTTTAGTGTTTTAAGTACAATTGTTTAATTCGTAATAAGCAAGCTGTGATTTAATTATTTTTTGTGTTTTCTTGCCAAACATATGTTTATAATTAATTAATTAACTAAACCTAAACTAACTAAAAGTAGGATAACTAGTTAGTGGTTGGCCAAATCATGGGTCTGTGAGACCGGCGTCACCAATGTTGTAAGTGAAACTGACGTCACCAATGGCGGGTTAACTAAACTTAACGCCCGGAGCGCCTCGCTCCGTATTTATAGGGCCCCGGGCTATATCCATCCCTTTCTCTCCCGATATTCCTGTCTCTGTCTCTCATGTTCTGAACCATAGTTCTGAAATGTTCGAAGCGAGAGGTCCGATGTTGCCGTCCTGTTTCTTTTTCTCTCGAATATTCCAGAAGTGTGTGGAAAGGTGCGTAGGTACCTACGGATTGCACGTACCCTGGTACGCGTACTCAGTTTATGCGTATCCAGAACGCCTAGTCCATACCTGCAGCTAAGCGCTGCGAGTTGGTACGCGAACCCCAAGTGAACGCTTAGCTGCGTACCAGGGTACGCGCAATCCGTACGCACCTGAAGAGTAATTTATGTGCAAACGAGATGACAGATAATGTGAGAAAGAGATGGAATGTTATTTATCTCTAATTGACTCTAATTGATTATTTTAGTACATTTTCTGACTGGTAACGTTGCTAATCAATTCTAATTTTATTAATAGATTAACGTATTTTCTTGGTCGACGTCGCTAACGGGAGGTTATCAAAAATTCAAAAAATTATGAAATTTTATTTTTTTAATACTCTTATGCAAGTTAATAAT